CGGATGTGGAGGTGGCTGTTTGTGTCTATCTGCCCCCCAGGGTTATTCCATGGCTCTCTTCTGGCCCTTATCTTTCTTATGGGGGAAAGTAATATTCAGTTTTCCATCAGCCAGTGTTTTTCTTTTTTTTTCCTCGCTTAGTTTATTCTCTAATTGCCAAAGGCATTTGAGGATTAATTTAAATTCCAGTGTACTTGTCACTATTTTTTTTTCTTGTGCCTTTTCCCTTTTCTCAAACCCACAGGCATGGAGAGATGATAGTGGCTCCTTTATGCAGTTTACAAGGCAAGTAAATTCTAGCCATTCTTCAGAGGTTACCTATCACAGAAACAGTCTCTTTGTTCTAAACACCAATGGTGGAAGACTTCTGGAAAGGAAATTAAAACTATTAAATCTGTCACAAGTGGGTGTTGAAACTGCCCCCCCAAAAAGTGTGCTGCTGTGTTGGAGAGCTGGAGCTTCAGTCCAGTGCAGGAGTGGGACTTCTCAAAGGACCAGTGGGGACCCTAAGGTTTTCTTGTTGTCTCACTTCTCTCCAGAAAGGGAAATAATCAGCTGCACTCCATCCTAACATATGTTCCTTTTTAATTTGTTACGCTAGGATGAGAACTGGAGCAGGCAGGGAGATGCAGCCCAGCCTGACACCCAGCACAGAGAGTCCAGTCAAACAGGGGCCTTTTGGCATGATGCTGGAGGGCAGAGGGATGAAGGGCTTCAGGTGTGTTCAAAGCTCTGGGATTTTCCAGTCTCTTGCACACCTGGGCTCCTTAAATGGGACAGACAAATATATAGGGCAGGCAGCAGAAGCTGCTCTGTGCCTCCAGCTGTCCGGGCCAGGCAGCAGCTTTGCAGCATCTGAAGTCTGTAACTCGGATCGCTGTGAAATCTGGTCTTCAGGCTTCATCAGCTAAGGGAGAAGATGAAATTCTTGCATCAAGCCAAGACGAAAACAGCATCTCCATGGTCAGGTTTCATTTTACTCTGAGTGAATTGCCTTTCCCATGTGAAACTCCAGCTCGCTCAAGGCTGGGAAGGCAGCGCTCCCACCCGACTGCTGATTTCCCTGTTTAACCTTTGCAGGTCCTGGGTGCAAAGCTGGGCATGTGTCACTGGGAAGTCTGGACATTTGGCAGCTTGGTGGTAAAAGTGTTGTGCTGTAAACATGTTCCATCTGGGTCCTCCAGGCACCACTTGAAAAATAATGATGCAACATTGGAAATGTTTCCAAGTCCAGGTGGGTTTGGAAGGAGTTTTTGAAGGAAACCAACCCAATGTTTCCCATTTAGGCAGGTGTCCTGCTCTGTCACTTGGACTGTTTTGTAATTTGCAAGAATTATTTTACCTAGAGCATCTATTATGACATTTAAATCTTTAGCATGATTTCAGATGACTGATATGGTGGAGTCACTTGCAGGCATTTTGAGGAGCATCACAACATCCTCTCTGTGCGTCTAGAGGCAGTGCTGAAATGTTGCTGTTGATGAGCCAGTAAATATTTCTGAACAGTCAAATGTGAAAGAAAGAGATTAGGAAGGCTGTGTTTCTCCAGGGACCATCTCATAGGCTCATTTTTAGACCCAGATCAACTTGAGGCTGACTCAAGTCCTTGTTGGCAGCTTGTTTTGCTCACATGGTTCTCCTTAAAAGGATATGTTTAGGCTAAAAATGAGGAGTTCTAGAAAGATGGTTTTAATCTGTTTTTATAGATGCCCCAGGTCATCAATAGGAAGCTTTAAAATTCAACAATCCTGTTTGCTTCTTGTCTGTAAAGAAGGTGTTGCTTGGTAAAGAAGGTATTGGCTTCTTGTGGGCTTTGGTGTCTTGTGCTGTAGCCCAACAGTAACTGGTTTTATATGGGGTTATAAATTCTATGTGACTATTTTTTACCCCTTGTGAATTAACCAAATTAGTTCTGCTTTCTTAATATGCCCTAGGAGTGTTTCAGGAGGAAAGAGGATCCTTAAAGATTGGTTTCATGCTCTCTCCTAACTGTGGCAATGTCAGGCTGCCCATGTACACCTGGGGAAGGGGGTTTCATAGGAAGGGGGTGAAGAAGATCAAATGGGGTCAGGGGGTGGCAACGTGTAGGTATTTGGGGTGTGGATTAGGAAGGGGCTGACCACAGGCAGGGAGTGATGTGATGCTCTTTTTGGCGTGTCCTGAAGCTGGGCAGGCATGGAAGGGAGCAGAGAGCTTGTGGGGAAGAGCATGAACCACATCTCCTGTTTCTGTCCCTGGACAATGTGCAGACGGGTCGTGGCTGTTGTGTAGGAGCTCACAGTTTTGCAATGATTCCTGTGTGCTGAGCAGACAGGTTTCTGTCCCCTGACAGCCAGCAGGCAGCTGGCACCCAGCAGTGGGTAGGCACAATTAGTGCTGTTTTCATTGAAAAATTTGGGTCATGTAGCAACGTTTTCCTGCCTGAGTGAGTCAACTCGGGCGTTTTATGGTAGAAACCCTCCTAATTTCATGCACAAAACCTGCTCTCTGACTATTTTACTGCATTTATTTTGAGTGGGAGGAAAGGCAGGGGGTTTGTCTCCTGCTCTTGCCAATAAACTCACCTGCTGGAACAGGGACTTGCATGGAATAATTACATCCTACTCCTTTGTCAATATATTGGTATTAATTTGAACATCAAATTCATGCACAGAGATGACAGAGAGAGTCAGCACATCAGGGGTAAATTGTGTGAAATTTGGACCAAATGTATGTGAATAGTAGTTTGAAATATTCTATTAATGTGGTTATTATATGTTAACATGAATAGCAGTTTCCCACAGCTTCAGTGTCTGCCCACTTTGTTCATAAAAGCAAAGCCTAGAAATTACTATTTTTTATTATAACTTTTTGATTTTGAAAGCAGGCTTAAATTAAAAAAGACAGACTTGCTGCTATGGAAGAGTTTTGTAGATGCAGGTTTTATAGTGATTCCAGCCTCACCATCCCAGTTATATCAGCTACACTGAAAGGGCAGGAAAATGTGGGTATTCTCTGTTCCTCCCTTCCACAGATCATCCCACAGGCAGCAAAAAAAATAACCTGCTAGGAATAATGAAGTTCATTTGTTATCTTGCTGGCATTAAGTGATGACTTGGCATAAGGAAAATGAGGCAGGTCGTGCCTGTGTGTGGTGGCAGAGCAGGGGCTGGTGGCTCTTGGAGCAGATTCCAGTGGCACAAAGAGCTCAAGTGCCAGTTCATGTCTTCTCTGGACTTGAAAGCAGCATTTATGGTGTCAGGAGTTGGGAACAGCAGGTTTTGTGGTTGTATTTCAGTGCAAAACTTTGCCACCCATTCAGTGCTTCTCTGTGTTATGGGAAATACAGCGTTTTAATTGCTTTGCCAGGACTTGGAAGCTGAATTTCTTCCATCTGACAGATCCTCGTAAAAAAAAAAACGGATTACAAATTAGATTGTACTCTAATTTAATGAGATTAGAGCACGAGCTTTAATACTGTTCCTCAGAGCCTTAAAGAGGCATCAGGACTGATCCCTGGTGGCACAGGACCCCTGTGCACGTGCTGGTTTGGCTGTGGGGTGTGCTGGGGAGCCCCTCTGGCTGCTCCCAGGGAGGCTGTTCACTCGCCTGGCATCCCAAAAGTGCCTGAGAAGATTCACCAGCCCAAAGCCTGGCTTGGGTGCACTGGAGAGGAGGGGGAAGACAAGGGTCTGCCCCTCCCTCACCCCCCAAGCTGGGATGCAGATGGGCTCTGGGACCCCCTAGCAGGGCCAGGCTGGAGCTGGGTCACAACTCGTTAGCGAGCTAATTGAAGGAGGCGAGCGGGGCCGGAGGAGCAGGGAGCGGTGGCTGCGCTCTCGGAGTGGGGATTTGCCTCCTGTCCTGGTGCCCAGGATCACCAGCTCTGGAGCCACCAGCTGCACCATGGGCAGAATCCCTGGGGTTGTGGTGGCTCCCCCGGGAGCTGCACTTTGGAGGTCTTCAGGCTTTGTCTGCAGAGCTGTCTGGATTGAAAGAACAAAAAAGCAAAGCACTTAAAGCAACCCACTGAAAAAAAGTCCCCCCAAAACCCCCAAGGCTTGCACAAGCACAGAGTTCCTTGTTTCCTCTCCTATCCTCCCATGAGGCTGATTTTGGCCACTGGAGCCACACTGCCCAACAGGGCTGGGACATCCCACTAGAGCCTGAGTCCACAGGATGGACCCTTGGAGGCAGAAAAAGGAGCTGCAGTGGGAGCTGGTGATGTGTTAGACACCAGAGACTGTGCACAGGAGAGAAGGGGTGCACAGCTGCTGTGGGCTTGTCCTTACACCACTGTGACCATTTTGGTACTTGTTGGCACAGCTGCACAAAAACTCCCTGCAATCTAGGCTGGCACCCACCCAGGGAGCAAGTGACCTGTTGCATGGCTCTCAGAGAGATTGCAGTTCCTCCAGAGAGGCCACCTCAGGGCCAGGCAGCCTGGACACAGGGTGCATGCAGGGGAGGTCACCCCAGCCTGAGGGAGAGGTGGTGCAGGATTGCTTCAGCTTGAGGTGTTTGGGTTTCTTTGTTGTTGTTGTTGGTATTTTTAAAATAAGCAAGCATGCAAAACTGGTCAGAGAGATGTTTGTCTGTGTGGCTGCTTCAGAGCGTGTTCCAGCTGGTTGGGGAGCAGGGCTGGGGGTGAAACCTCTGGCACCCCAGGCTAGCAAGGTTCATGTGGGCACATCTGGGGAGTATTGAGGGGATCTTCCATAGGGGAAAGGAAAGCAAACAGGCAGAAATACTATGAGGAAGTGGTCAAGAGACTGGGATGGTGAACACAGGCATCCTGAGCCTGCCTGGCAGCCTCTTGAGACACCCACTGCACCCCAGATTCCTGCCTACCCGCTTGGGGCTGTGCCCCTTCCCTGTGGCACTCTGGGAACCTTGTGTGACTCTCCCCCTCTGTCACCTTCACCTTTGCAACTGTTTTTCATGTGCTGGGCAGGGAAATGCTTGTCTATGACTGTCACTAAGTCTTACCACCTTCTCTGTGTACAGTTGCTGGTGAGAAGAGGGTGCCAGTGATGCCCGGATCGCCTGTGGAAGTGAAGATACAGTCCAGGTCCTCTCCTCCCAACATGCCACCACTGCCTCCTGTGAACCCTGGTGGCCCCCGGCCGGTGTCCTTCACCCCAACTGCACGTAAGAACCCAGTAATGCCACTTTTCCCAGGGACCAACTCAAGCTGGGAGGACAGGCTCTGCTTGTAGAAGTCACCAGGGATGTCTCAGCCATCAGCCAGGGCTGCCTGCTGGCACGCTGAGCATTGGTGGTGCTGTCAGGAACAGGGAGCTGGGGCTGTCCTGCTGTTCTGCTATGTATGCAGGACGTGTAACAGGGTCTGTAATCCCCACTACACCCCTGCTGCTCCTACCTTGCTCCTGGTGCTGCCTTGAGTCCCTCTCCATGCAGGTGCAGTCTTGATTTCTGCTGTAAACTCCTTAAGAAATTGAAGGCTTTTATCAGGTCGGCTTCAAACACGCCGAGAGCCAGGCTTTTCACTGTATCTTTTGGAGGAGTTAATTCCCACTCTGCTGTATCTCACTTTGCAGGCAGCATTTCTGCAGCTGAGATTAGAAAGTTTTTTTTCTTTTTTTTAATGTACCAGCCTCAGAAATTTCTTCCTGTCCATCCAGAGCCTCTTTTCTCCATCTTCTCTTTATAATCTTTCCTCTTTAGCCACAGTTGATCCTGGTCCAACCGTAGCTCAGCCTCACACCCACTTCTTCTAGCAGGGTGTTGCATAGAGGTGATTCTGTGCACTGGATGAACATACAACCTTTTTCTACAGCCTAGGAGAAGAGTCTTTTCTTCCCCCTCAGCCAACATTTAAGCCATTTAATGTCTTTTCAAAAGCATCATTCAGGAGCAAAGCTGCTTTACTTTGTTGGGCACGGAGTTATCTGCGCCCTGCACGTGGCACACACATATTTTCCAGGCTCTCCTCACCTCTCTTCCCCTGTGCTGAGCATCTCCCTCGCTGGCTCTGCAGCACTGTCTGTCCATGGCAGTGTCTGGGATATCTCAGTTTCACACTGGCAGTGGATTTCAGAGCCTTACAATCCAGCCCCTTTCACACTGATGTGCTGCATGATGCTGGCAGCAGCACTAATCACCGGGTTATCCCGCCAGACACATTGTCCCCGTCTTTATGCACTGAGGGGATTTTAATGCCTCCTTTTGCTGAGGCAGAAAAAGACCATTAGCAAAGTGACAGAAATTAATTTTTCCAATGAGGTTGCTTGGCACACTGCTAAGGGCCAAAGAGCTGATTGCAAATGACTTAATTGGCTCTTTCCAAGAGAGATGAGAGATGCAGCCTGTGGTGAAGTTCATTCTTGGTTGGTTTTTAAAAATTTATTTCTCCTTTCTTCTTTTTTTATTTCTTGGTTGTGCCAAAAGTTCTTGGTCAGAGTCAGTGGTGGGGTGTGTATCTCTGCCCGTGACTTGGGCAGGCAAGGAGGAGTAAGCCAGAGGGGTCATAGAGCCATAGTCATCAGGGTTGGAAGGGACCTCTGGAGATCATCTAGTCCACCTCCCCTGCTAGAGCAGGGTCACCTGTAGCAGATTCACACAGAAACACATCCAGGTTTGGAATATCTTCAGAGAAGGAGACTCCACAACCTCTCCAGGCAGCCTGTCCCAGGGCTCTGTTACTCCCACAGTGAAGAAGTTTTTTCCTTATGTTTAGCTTGAACCTCTCGTGCTCCAGCTTGTGCCCGTTGCCTGTTGTCCTGTCACTGGACACTGCAGAGGTTCCACCCTCCTGACACCCCCTGTAGATATTTATAAGCATTTATGAGATCACCCCTCAGTCTCTTCTTCTCCAGGCTGAACAGCCCCAGATCTCTCAGCCTTGCCTCATAGGGCAGATGCTCCAGTCCTCTAATCATCTTAGTGGCCTGTGCTGGACTCTCTCCAGTAGATCCTTATCCTTTATGAACTGAGAAGCACAGAATTGGACACGATACTCCAGATGTGGCCTCACCAGGGCAGAATAGAGGGGGAGGAGAACTTCACTTGACCTACTGGCTACACTCTTCTTAATGCACCCAAGCATGTCCATGCCTGCATATGGATCACTAACAAATGGGCTGGAGAAACAGCAAAAGCCTTTTGGTTATTGAGGCAGAGTTTTAACAGAGCAGCCCTAGATGATGACCTTGATGTTCCCAGGAATTTAAACATGCTCCTCTCCCCACACCAGCTATCCCACCACTCTCAGAACACCACCTCAGCTCAGAACTATCTTCTCCCCAGGAAGCAGAGATGCCAGCCCAGGTTGTGGTCTGTGGTGGGGCAGATCCTGGTGGTGCACAGGACCAGACAACAGCCGGCACCCTGCGGTCACACCGTTGGCAGGAGGGTCAGGCAGGTGGAGCCTCAAAACGCGGCGAGTGGTGACAGGGGCTGGTTCTAACGGCAGCCCTGAGCCCACCCAGCCCCCTCTGCTGCCCTGGCATCACCCCAGGCCATCAGCCTCTGCTGCTCCCATCCTTGGCAGCCTCCCCTGAGGGGTCACCCGCAGCCCCCCGGCCCCAGGTGGGTTGCACAGCCCTGTCTTCTTCTGGGATATAAATAGAGCACGTTGTTCTCCTTGGTCTTGCGTTTGAAAGAAGAAGAGGAAGCAAAATAGAGAAGGGGGTAAAGTGCCTCAGAAGTGGCTGGTGGTGAGTGTGAAGCTGCACAGCCCTCTGCTTCTGGAGAGAAGCTTCTCTGGGTGGCTCCTCACCCTATTAGTAACACTTTTCTTGTGAAATAAATGCTCTTTATGTGTAATTGCCAGAAGCCTTGCCTGTCACATAGCTCTGTGTTTGCTGGTCCTCCATGGTATCTAACCCTGTGGGTACGTGCTGTCTCTGCAGGGTGTCTCTGTTCCTTTGCTGGTCTGGGGAAGCCAGTGTGGACAGGAGTTTTTCAGGCTGTGTTGCTCCATAACAAAAGGCATGAGCTCCCTTTGCCTTCACACCTCTCTGTCCTCTCAATCCTGGCCTTCACCTTCATTTCATCATCTCTTTGTCTATGAAAGGACACGTCTTTGTTATGCCCTTAAAGAGCCTGTCACCCCTTGGTTGGCAGGAACCACCTTTGATGGTCTCTTGAGCCTTATCTTTCCCTTCCATCTTAACTGACTCTTCTCTGGTTCCTTCCCATGCTCACCACAGCAGGTCCAGGTGTGGTGGTGGAGCCTTTCCAGCCTCCAACCCCAGGATGCCCCAGAACGGTTTTAACTGTTCAAGCACCTCCTGCCTCCTTCTCTGAAAACCCTCACAGGGTCATGATCGTTTGGGAACTTAATGAAGCTTGTGAAAACTTGTGAAACTGCTGAGGGAACTCTGGCAGCTTTTGTTTTTTTTTGCAAGCTGCTGCTCCATCACAACATGCACCTTCCCCTGCCCTACATGCCAGGAGCATCTCTGCCAGGTGGCTTCAGTGCCTCTGTCATTTGAAATGAGTTTTGTAGCTTGTGGCCTTCTCTTCAGTGCTGGCATCCATAAGGGATTCAGGGCTGGGTTTTTCAGGATGACCCAGTGGATCAGCTAAAATTGTATTTACAAGGATGTACTTTTCACCTCTAAAGCTCTGGGTTTGTGTGGAGCTGGGGCCCCACGCACACAGCTGCTCTTCAGACAAGGCTTTAGATTGCACAACAGCGGCGCAGGGATGTCAACAATTTATTCTAATCCCTTGCCAAGTTCCCAAACTTGCAGCCCTTCAGTCTGTTTTGACATGCTCACTGCTTACGGGAGGCGAAGCTGCAGATGGGACTGGATTGGGAAAAACAACAGTGTTTGTGAAATTCCCTGTAAATCCCTGAGGGACAGGGTTTTTTTTTGCAGGCAGGTGCCATGGGGCAGGAGGGTCCCAGCCCTCCCTCCTCAGGTGAGATGGAGGCACCTGAGCTCTGGGATCTGCTAGTGGGACCTGGCAGTAGTCATAGGATCATAGAATGGTTTGGGTTGGAAGGGGCCTCAATGATCATCTAGATCCAACCCCCCTGCATGGGACAGCTCCCACTGGATCAAGCTGCTCCAAGCCCCATCCAGCCTGCCCTTCAACACTGCCAGGGATGGGGCAGCCACAGCTTCCCTGGGCAACCTGGGCCAGTGTGTGAGCACTGATGAGTTACTGTAAATAATGGCGCTGAGAAGGATCGGGGTGATTTTCAGCCTGATGCAGATCAGAAAATGCTGGTCAGTAATTCATGCTGAGGGCTGTAAACTCTGGGCTAAAGCATGTTTAATTCCTCAGGCTGGGTGTACAGCACAACTTGCTCTGCTGCTGCAGCAGCTTCATATGGGCTGACCCCGTGTCCCCTGGCCTGCCTCGAATGCCAGCGGAGGTGTGCCTGGGCTGCTGAGCCCTGCTCCTGCCCTCTGTGATGGCCCTGGAAATGAAGCTCACTGAGCACAGGCTGGCAGAGGAGAGAAATGCCAGGGAAATTGCCACGGACTGTGGTGAAAATCACACCTGAGCCATCCCATAGGGAAAACTGCAGGAGCCTGGGCTGGGCGGGTGGTCCTTGTGTGCTGGGGGCTGCAGAGCATCCCTGCAAGCTCAGGGAAGTCGGAGGAGAAGGCATGGCCCTTGCCAGTGACTGGCTCCATTGTTGGGTGCCCTCTGGCATGGCATGTGGGCTCTGCTGTGGCCAGAGCCCTTCTCTGGTTCCTGCTCTGCCTGCTGGCAGCAGGTTCTTGGGTGGAAGGTGGATCCACCAGACCACAGGGATGCCCCCACCTGCTGCTCAGTAACTGCTCAGTCTCCCTTTTGCAGTGCCCAATGGAATCAACCACTCCCCCCCGACGCTGAACGGGGCACCATCCCCACCCCAGCGCTTCAGCAACGGCCCTTCCTCCTCTTCCTCCTCCTCGCTGACCAACCAGCAGCTCCCAGCCACCTGTGGTGCCCGGCAGCTCAGCAAGCTGAAGCGGTTCCTCACCACCCTGCAGCAGTTCGGCAACGACATCTCACCAGAGATCGGGGAGAAGGTCCGGACCCTGGTGCTGGCGCTGGTGGTGAGTCCTGCCTGCTGGGCCCTCTGCTGCTCCCAGGCCACCCTGCTGCTGGGATCCAGGCAGCCAGCACATGCCAGCGTTGCACAACGGTCTCTGGGTCTTCATCAGCAGGGAGGAGTGTGTCATGTTTGTGCTTTCTGCTAAACTTGCTGACTTTTTTTTTTTTTTTTCCTAAAAAAGCTGTTTGTCCAGTGACTTTGGCATCAGCTTTGGTGCAGCTGGACTTGTGAAAGCCTGAAAGGATTTGGACTAAGCCTTTCTATAAAGGCCTCAGGTCTGGTGCCACGGGCACCACGGTTACTCCAGGCTTCTCCATTTCCTCTTGTAAACGAGACTTTTCTCACAATTCAGAGCCTGTAGATTTGTACTAGGGAAGTGTTTTCTTGCCTGTGCAGATGAGTGATTGCCTGACCCTGACCGTGGATCAATTTACTTCTGCTTCCATGCAAAAAATGCCAGTTCCAGCCCCTGCTTCCTCAGTGCTCTCCTGAGCTCCATGTGCCCAAGCTCAGCAGTGCTTTGCTCAGCAAGGCAGGCAGGTGTAATGGGGAAAGCAGGGATGCTGGTTGGGAACTGGGGCCTGGCACTAGCAGGGGCTCACTCCAGAAAGCTGTTAGTGCTTCTCTGCTCTGAAGTGTGTAGAGAATATCCTGGCCCTTCAAGTATTTCAGTTGTGATACTCAGTGGTGAACATGGTATGTATTTAAAGGGCTTTTTTCCTGTCTGTGGCTGCTCCTGCATGACTTACCCAAGGCTGCTAGCACAGCAAGGCTGCCTGTTGCCAAGGTCTGCAGAGGATGGGAAGCTGCTGTTGCTAAATAGGAGGTCTGGGCTTCTGATATGCTGCTGCTTTGTGTGATTGCATATTTGCCCACATTACCAAAGGCACTGATTCTTTTTTTGCAACAGCCTGAAGGTGCAGCTGCAGGAAGAGGTTTGGTAAATAACTTGTGTGTATCTTCTGTACTCCCACCCTTGGCTTTGGGAGAGCCGGGCCTGCATCTGTAACTGTGTGTGTGTCCTCCTGCACTTCTGCAGCTACTGAGAGCTGAAAACACCCTTTAAAACCCAAACAAGCAGATCTTGCTGAGGAACTGTGACTAATACTTGCAGGTATACAGACTGGTTGGTAGAAAAGCTGTGCAAGTCCATCCCTGGAGCACAGCACCACACTGTCCAGCTGTGATCTGGTGCAGCACCCAGTGCTGCTTCTGGCTGACCTCTGCTTTTTGGCAGGTTTCATTTGAGGCTCAGCACACAACCAAGGTAGCTAGACTGCAGGCAGCCTGGAGTGTCTCTGCTTCCAAGGTTGGCAGAGCAAACCTGAGCCTGTCTGTGGCCCTGGGGGCTTTCACAGGACTTGAGCACTGGATGCAAAATGCTGTTGCTGAAGAAGAAAGAGGTGTATATTTCATAGGATCACTGAATGGTTTGGGTTGGAAAGGACCTTTAAAGCTTATCCAGTCCAACCCCCTGCAGTGAGCAGGGACATCTTCAACTAGACCAGGTTGCTCAGAGCCCTGTCCAACCTGACCTGGAATGTTCCCAGAGATGGAGAACCTACCACCTCTCTGTGCAGCCTGGGGCAGTGTTTCACTACCTTCATTGCAAACAATTTCTTCCTTATTTCTAGTCTGAATCTCCCCTCTTTCAGTTTAACACCACTTCTTGTCCTGGCACTATAGGCCCTGCTAAAAAGTTTGTCCCCATCTTTCTTATAGGCCCCCTTTAAGTACTGAAAGGCCACAATAAGATCTCCCTGGTGCCTTCTCCAGGCTGAACAACCCCAAATACCCTTTTCCATGGGATCAGAATAGTGTGTTGGCTTACCCTTTTGGGAAGGCAATGCTAATGTCCAGGTTCTTCTGACTTGTTCTCACCACTGATTGCAGTAATTGCTGCAGGGATGAACTTAGTGTGCAGATCATCAAAGCTGCTTGAAGCTGCTTGTCCCAGGGCACCCCCCAGCCTTAATGGCCATGGGGGATGGAAGGCTGGGCCAGGGGAGGGCTGTGCTGGTGGGGTCAGCAGTGGGCTGGTGGTGACTTCATGGGTGGTGGGTGGATTAGATGAAATGAGCTGAAAGGGAGGAAGGAGGAGAGGAAGATGTGCAGCTCCGAGAAGCTGGAATCAGTGCCTGGCTCCCCACAGCCTGCCCTAGGCCACCTGGCCAGGGTGCAGGAGATGCCAGCTGGGTCCTGCTGCCTCCTGGAGCTGGTCCCTGCCTCCCAGCCCCAGAACTGGGAGGATGCTGGGCCAGGCAGTGCCTGGCTGTGCACAGCCCTCACCCCTCACCTCCTGCAGCGTTTCTTCTTCATTGGCCTGAGTCTTTTTGGCTGCACTAGGCAGCATCTGATGCAAACATTGTCAGTCCCGTGGCAGCAGATGCAGTTCTTCCTTCCAGTTCTGCTTGTTTGGAGCTGTTTCCCACATGCCTAAAAATAAGAACAAATTGTCATTTCATTTCTTAATTTCTTTTCCCAGAACTCAACGGTGACAATTGAGGAATTTCACTGCAAGCTGCAAGAGGCCACAAACTTTCCCCTTCGACCATTTGTGATCCCCTTCCTGAAGGTGAGAAGGAGCTGGTGGGGCCTGTGGACACTCCATGTGCTGGTCAGTGCTGCTAGGCAGTGTGTCACTGCTGGGAGAGCTCTTCTTTCAAGCACCACAGCAATGTTGTTGAAGTCCAAGGCAGGCTGCACAGTGGCCATGTGGGACCAGCTCGCAGAAGGCTGATGTTGGAACGAGTGCCACACGTGTCTGCTTCTGTGTTAGGGATAAAGGAGCCAGACCAAGCTTCATTTGGCAGCTTCTCATCCTATAATCTTCTTTGGAAATGTTCTGATCTAGAATGTTTGAAGTATTGGCGTGGTTGGATGGGGTTGCCCAGGGAAGCTGTGGCTGCCCCATCCCTGGCAGTGTTGAAGGGCAGGTTGGATGGGGCTTGGAGCAGCCTGGGCTGGTGGGAGGTGTCCCTGCCCATGCAGGTGGGTTGGCACTAGATGATCTTTAAGGTCCTTTCCAACCCAAACCAGCCTGTGATTCTGTGAAGCATATAGTGCTCCCCACAATGTCGGGGTTTTGGGTGTGCTGACATCAGGTCACCCTCAGCCCTTTGGAAACCAGAGGTGAATCTGACAGTGCAGACACCAGGAGGATCCTGAGTGAGGGCCACAGGCTCAAGGTGTTACTGCTCTGAGGGACTGCATGCAGAGCAAACCTGCAGGGGGCTGGAGGTGTCTGCCTGCAGCCTATCTAACGCAACCCCCTGCTTCTTTTCCAGGCCAACCTGCCCCTGCTGCAGAGGGAGCTGCTGCACTGTGCCCGGGCTGCCAAGCAGACACCCTCCCAGTACTTGGCACAGCATGAGCACATCCTGCTGCACACCAACACCACCTGCCCTGCAGACTCCTCTGAGCTCCTCATCGAGGTCAATGGCAATGGGAAGAGGCACAGTCCAGACAGGTAAAACCACCTTTCCTTGCTCTGCCAACTTTTTCAGGTCATGACTTTTGTTTCAAAGTTGCTGCACAGTCAGAGCTTCAAGCAGCTTAAGGGCGATGCTAGAGGATCTTATCACTCCCAGCAGCTATTCTGGCTATTAATAACTGCTCCTCCTGCACCTGAATTCAGGTGGGAATGTTCTTTCAGGCAGGTTCTATCCCAAGGGGTCTTGTTGGGTGACACTGAAAAGCCTGAGCTGGAGAGGTGAGTGGCTCTTCACCTTCCCAGGACAGGCTGCCCAGGGAAGTGGTTGAGTCTCCATCCCTGGAGGTGTTTAAGAGATGTGTAGATGTAGTGCTTGGCAACATGGTTGAAGAACTGGACTTGGTAGAGTTGGATTAATGGTTGGTAGAGTGAGTTATGGTTGGACTTGATGATCTTAAAGGTCTTTCCCAACCAGAATGATTCTGTGATTCCTGGGTGGTGAGCAGAGGCACTGTCAGGATGCAGTTCCATTTCACCACTTCTTATTCCAAGTTAGAAGTCGTTATGCAATTATGTGGAGCACGCTTCAGATTTATAAAAACTGTGAAATGTTGCTTTGGTTATGCTCAGAAAGATGAATCACAACACTTGGGCATCTTCAGCTTCTTTTTTGACGGGGTCATTTTGTGGATTAGTTCACAAGTTGAGCGTGTTTGTTTCACCCCCTCCCCCCAGTAAAATCGTTGCAGCCCAAGTTCTCCTGCTTTGAAATCTGCCTCTTGCCCTTTCCAAGTTTGCTAATCAGTGCTCACAAATGCCTCTGTCTGCTGCTGTGGTTGCAGAAGAGATGACAGCAGCTTTGAGAGGGAGTCGCTGCCAACGGAGCCTCCGGCCAAGAGGGTGTGCACCATCAGCCCCGCACCCCGGCACAGCCCTGCCCTGACAATCCCCCTGATGAACCCCGGGGGGCAGTTCCACCCCACCCCCCCACCTCTCCAGCACTACACCTTGGAAGATATCGCCACCTCCCACCTCTACAGGGACCCCAGCAAGATGTTGGAGCACAGAGAAATTCGGGACCGGCACGGCGGCCTCGGTGAGAAAGCCTGGAGGGTTTTGGTGGTAGGAGCTGTGAGGTCCAGTGGTTGGGCTTTGGTGTCAGTTCCTGCTTGGCCACTGGCACTCAAAGCTGTAATGCTGGGCATGTCCTCAGCAGGGGTTTTTGCAGGGAATTCAGAGAAAACAAGTGACCCCGGAAGATTAAAAGTGGGAAGACTTACAGTTTGTATTTCATAGATTGATAGAATGGTTTGGGTTGGAGGGACACTAAAGACCATCTAGATCCAATCCCCTGCATGGGCAGGGACACCTCCCACTAGACCAAGTTGTTTTAAGCCCCTTCAAACCTGGCCTTGAACACTTCCTGGGATGGGGCAGCCACAGCTTCCCTGGGCAACCTAGGCCAGGGTCTCACCACCCTCACACTAAAGAATTTCTTCCTCATGTCTCACCTCAATCTCCTCTCTTCCAGTTTTAATCCATCCCCTTTGTCCTCTCCCTCCCTGTCCTTGTCCCAAGGGAGGGCCCCAGCTTTCCTGGAGCCCCTTCAGGCACTGGAAGCTGCTCTAAGGTCTCCCTGGAGCCTTCTCTTCTCCAGGCTGAACACCCCAACTCTCCCAGCCTCTCTCCAGAGCAGAGCTGCTCCAGCCCTCTGATCATCTCAGTGGCCTCCCCTGAACTCATTCCAACAGCTCCGTGTCCATCTCTCTCCAGCTCTCAGAGCCCTCAGTCCATCTAACTGCTCTCCTGGCTGTGGTTTGTTGCAGGTTTGAATGGGGGATACCAGGATGAGCTGGTGGACCATCGCCTGACGGAGAGGGAGTGGGCTGACGAGTGGAAGCACCTCGATCACGTAAGGAATGGCAGGAGGTGTGGGAAGCTCTGTGGGTCACAGGAACCCAGTGCTCCACCTCCTCCTATTTCTGGTTTTCTTGTTGTTGACACCATAGCCAAGGCTTTCTGAGTAGCTTGTAGAGGAACCAGCCCCCATGAGAAGGTGGGTGGAGGGCAGATAGGAGCAGTAGTGCTTTCCTAGCAGGTTTTCTCTGCCCGTGGTTGATGGAAGCCAAAATCACTCTGGACAAAGTGTCTGGAGCTGGGGAGCTTCTGCAGAGCCTGGCCATGTGCTGCCCTGGCTGGCTGAGCAACCAAACCCAGCCTTGTCCCTGCACACATCTTTCTGACACCAGCCTGGCCAGCACTGGACCAACAGACGTGCAGATGTGCTGTGTGCAGTCAGGATATGGAGCTTACAGAAGAAGTTAACCCATCATGATTGTTTAAGCCTTTTTTTCCTGAAAAGCCCAACCTTTTTTGGGCCCCAACAGCAGGACTTGGTGCATCTGGCAAACCTTCTGCCCTCAGCTTTTCCCTCTGAGCAAGGCTGCTCATCCCAGCACTTCACTGAGTGTTTCCCCCAAAGAGGTGGGATTGAAATTCAGCTTTGATCAGAAACGCAGAGAGACCTCATGTTTGCTTCTGCTCTAAAGCTGTTTTTTTTTCTGGGAGGATCACAGGGTGGAGTAGAGGCCCCATAGCTGATGATTTGCTAGTTGGGATGTGGCTGTGGAGAGCTGGCACCAGGATCACAGCCAACCCTTGCATAAGCACCCTGTTCCCATAGAAAAGTGGTGGGATTTTTCCCCTCCACCTTTACGATCGTGGCCTGAAGGGGTTTGGCCACCTCCTTTGGTGACCAAGGTCTTATGATGTTGGTGTAAGCACCTTCTTCCCACCTGGTGCTGCCTCCCTGCTCATGTGGGTACAGGACTCATTCCTGTTTGAATGCTGCATTATCCAACATCATAGAGTCACAGAATCATTTTGGTTGGAAAAGGTGCTTAAGATCACCCAGTCCAACCATTAACCCAGCCCTGCCAAGGCCACCACTGCCCCATGTCCCTCAGCACCACATCTACATGGCTTTGAAATCCCTCCAGGGATGGGGAAGACTCCACCACTGCCCTGAGCAGCCTGGGCCAGGGCCTGACAACCCTTTGGGGGAAGAAATTGTCCCTGATATCCTATCTAAGCCTCCCTTGGGCAACTTGGGTCCATTTCCTCTTGTCCTGTTGCTTGTTCCTTGGGAGCAGAGACCAACCTCCCCTGGCTCCAACCTCCCCTCAGGCAGTTGCAGAGCCAGAAGGGAGACCCTCACCTCCTTTGCTCCAGGCTGGACACCCCCAGCTCCCTCAGCTGCTCCTCACAAGTTCTCCAGACCCTTCTCCTCCTGCTCCAGCCCCTTCCCCAGCTCCACTGCCCTTCTCTGGACACGCTCCAGCCCCTCCAATCCTTCTTGTCCTGAGATTCGTGTAAATCCTCACCAGGAAGCCTGTTCCTGCACAACCCCCTTCATATGCAGAGCCACAGAGATGCTGAAGGGAGTGGAACATCTCCCTGCTGAGGAAAGGCTGAGGGAGCTGGGTCTGTTGGGCTTGGAGAAGAGGAGACTGAGGGGCCACCTCATCCATGGGCACAAATCTGTTCAGGGCAGTGTCAGGAGGACAGAGCCAGGCTTTGTGCAGTGATGTCCAGTGACAGGACAAGGGGCAGTGGGTGCAAACTGGAGCCCAGGAGGTTCCATGTGAATCTCAGGAAGAACTTCTTTGCTGTGAGAGTGCCAGAGCCCTGGGCCAGGCTGCCCAGAGAGGCTGTGGAGTCTCCTTCTCTGGAGACATTCCAACCCCCTGGCCACGTGCGTGATGGGCTCTGGGTGCCCCTGCTCTGGCAGGGGGGTTGGGCTGGGGGAGCTTTCCAGGTCCCTTCCAGCCCCTGAGATTCTGTGATATCTCCCCTATTCCCGGGACGGCCCCTCCGTGGCGCCTTCCCTGGAGAAAGGGGGGAAGGGAAGCCAACCTCCCAAGACTGAGCACGTTCCTCCTGGCAGGCGCTGAACTGCATCATGGAGATGGTGGAGAAGACGCGGCGCTCCATGGCCGTGCTGCGGCGCTGCCAGGAGGCGGATCGGGAGGAGCTGAACTACTGGAAGCGGCGCTGCAGCGAGGCTGAGCCCCGCAAGGCAGGCACTGAGCTGGGCTCCCGGCACAGCCCCGGCTCCTCCGACCCCGGTGAGACCCCCCGAGGGGCTGCCTGGCTGGGACTGAGTGGTGGGGATGGGTGGGGATGGTGTGTTCAGGTGGTGATTCTTGAGTGGTTGTTGTGAAGGCTTTGGAGAAGGGAAAACCATCAGGTTGGAAGTTCCTGGGGGAGCCCCTGGTGTCTGAAGGCAACTCTGGGCAGCAGCAGCTTCTCAAAGTGCTGGGGGAAGAGAATCACAGCATAGAATCAATCATAGAATCGTCCTGGTTGGAACAGATCTTGAAGATCATCAAGTCCAACCATAACCTCAATCCCCCAACCATCTCCCCGTTCAGAGCTCACATCCTGTCCCTAAGCACTGTGTCTACATTTCTTCTACCTACTTCCAGGGATGGTGACTCCACCACCTCCCTTGTCACTGAGCTGTCTTTGCTGACCATGCCAAGTTCATCCAAAGCTGAGAAACCAGGGGGTGAAGAGGCAGGAGGGGGGGAGGTGGTTGGTTCCACCCTTCTTCCCCTCCCAGTCTGTCTTGCCTAAAGGATTTTAAATGTCAAGTTCTACTAATTCTAAAAATACCAAGGGCTGCTCTAAGTGTAAGAGCTACTACCTGAGTTATTAACTCTATTTTTATACCATGAGTCAACTTAATTTTACTGAAGCTGCCTGTTGTTCCCCTCCCATGTGCAGGGGTTTTGACCCTACACCAAAAAACAAGTCTAAAAAGCTGATTCTATTAATTTGGATGTAATTCTAAGTTCAATCCAAACAAATGGGCCTGCAAATCAAATGCTGCAAAAATACCCCAATTTTATCATTTGATAATAAAAGTGAATGTTCTCTAACAATAAGAGCAAATATCAAACTAAAAGCCTCCCTTTTTTTACTAAACTTGTTTGTGTACAAAGTGAAGTGTGGATCCTCCTGGAAGGAAACCCAGCCTGGTGGTTCCAGCTGTAGCCACTGAGCAGCACGTGGTGAGCCTGGCAACCTGATGACACAGCCACCTTCTAGCCCTCCTATGTTTAAATTTTTCATGACTAATACACTTACAGCCCCATATTATTAAAGGTGATGTCATCTAATTTTACTTTTTTTTTACTATAAATTAGGAACATTGTTGATACTTTTCTCCCTCATGGGACCTTGGGCTGATTTCCAAGCTCTCTTGCTGTCATGAGGAGGTGCAGTTAAATGTCATGTGGCATCCCCAGGTGCACCACAGGCTTTTTGTTCTCCCACCAGCCCTTGGCACAGACCAATTTTTATTTGGACCCTTCAGAAAGTTACTCTGAAACCTTAAAAAAAAAAAAGGGATGCAGCTAGAACACAAGGAAAGGCTCTGCAAGGCTTCTGTTTCTGACCACAGCCTGTGTTTAGGTCCTTGTGTGACTGTCCCCATCTGTCAGTTAGGCTCTTCATGTACAAGAGGACTTGTAGGATGGATTCTTCATCAGTCCAAGCCTTTGAATTGCCCCTGGGAGTGAGAAGTGCTGCCTTTAATGTAAACTTTTGGTCATATACATTGATGCTCCGAGTCACTGGTCAGTGCAGATGTTTGATGGCATCTATTTGTAAGCATTGCCTGTTGTTCTAGAGTACCAGGAGATGGAAGTGGGTTATACGGTGTCATAAATTATGCAAGGCACTAATTAAACGTTGTCATTTATCATCTGAGTGGTTGACAAATGGCTTTAACTGCCTTAATCCTCTGCGTTGAGTTTTGGCTGGTTAACTCTACCCTGCCCTGCGATGTGCCCAGGTACCTCTGAGCAGCTCAGCAGCAGTTGGGTGAGGTGAGGCTTTGCCAACCTTTCTCTCTCTCCCTTCTTCCAACAGATTCCTTGCGGGAATTCAGCAGCAGGTCGGGAACAGGCTACGTCACTGAGGAGATATGGAAAAAAGCAGGTGAGTGTTTGCTGGTGACCTGGGTGAGGGGTTCTGCTGGGGAGGTAAACACAGATGCTGCAGATCTGCTCTGGAGAAGCCCAGCTACAAGGACACGCCAGCATGTGCACATCCAGCTCCTACTGTCTGTGTTTTCCAAAGGGATCCCCCCCTTTGGATGATGCCAGTGGAAATCCTGTGGGGCTGCACCTGGCCTTGCTGCTCCCAGGAGTGGTCGTGATGCTGGTGCTGAGCACGTCCCGTTGTGCCCTGTCCCGCCGCGCCCTGACGTCTCCGCCCTCTCTCGGGGGCTCTTCCCGGCTCCTCGGGCAGGTGGGTGAAGTGGCTCTTTCCTTCCAGAAGAAGCTGTGAACGAGGTGAAGCGCCAGGCCATGTCGGAGGTGCAGAAGGCAGTGGCAGAAGCTGAGCAGAAGGCTTTTGAGATGATTGCCTCGGAGAGGGCGCGGATGGAGCAGACCATCGCGGACGCCAAGCGCCAGGCCACCGAGGATGCTTTCTTAGTGATAAACGAGCAGGAGGAGTCTACAGAGGTAAGGTCCCAGGGGGCAGCCCAGCAAGGGACTTCCAGAGACTCTCAAAGTGTCCAAGTCTTGCCCAGCAGTGACTCGGAGTCTGCAGGTTCCCTGTCCCTTTTCACTTTTAAAAGTCTGTCCTCAGTCAATAACTAAAAGGACGTGTTGATACCCTAAAAAAAATAGTTTTGATTTTGCTGGCAGGGAATCAACTTGGTGAGTTACTAACCTCATAACACCCCATGAGACAATTGCACCTTGGAAAAGAAGGGATGATTCTTTTTGTCATCTGCTGAATGGGTGTCTTCTAGAGAATTTCTTTCTACTCCTCAATTGTTAATTGTCTTCATACCTTCTCTGTTCCTTAGCTGGAAGCTCACTTTGGAGCTCTGGAGATCTCAGCTGGCCTGGGCAAGGAGAATTGCATGGTCAACTCCTGCACCACCACAGCCCAGCATGTGGTTTGCTGCTTGTTTGATTTTGTCTGCACAAACACAAGAGCAGAGGCTTTGCCTTTCTTTCTGCCAAGAAAAAATCTGATGGGAACATGGAGTTCATGTCCGCTGGGACTGTGTGGGCAGCAAGTCCATGTCCCTCTTCCTGCAGGGTTTCAATCCACCCTGCTGACTGGGCTGAGAAAGCTCTGGGGCTGGGGTCTCCAGGCACAGCAGGACCCATGGCAGCACTAGGGGTTGTTACAGAGACGTGTGTCTGTGCTCTGATGGTTCCTGCTTCAATCACTGAAGGTTGAATGCACCAGTTGGTAAACAGATGATGAGGAGTGGGTGGACACTGAAGGTTGAATGCACCAGTTGGTAAACATGATGAGGAGTGGGTGGAACTGCTCAGGAAGCCATGGAAGGAATGAGACAAGCAATGATTGCTCTGTAGGGGAATACCAGAGGAGTGTCCTCCTCCTCTGGCTGTCCCAGGGAGCAGTGTGGGACCTCGGGAGCAGCCAAGCATCCCCCACCAGCACACACCTGTGTGAGCCCCAGAGCCCTTCTCTGAAAGCCAGGTTGAGAAGATGTCTCACATTCTGGCACATGCAACCTTTAAAATGCAGTTTTAAAACATTGTTTGAAGTGTAAACAGCTGTGAAGTGGTGACCCAGATTTCCAAGAGTCACCACAGGCTTTGGTGGGGGCTTTATTTGGTTGTGAGTCGTGCTTCTCCAGGAAGACTGAGGAGCCTTGGGAAGGTACTGGCTGTGGAGCAGATCTCTCCTGACCAGCTCACTCTGATGCTTTGCTGCCAGCTCCTAACTCAGTGCTGGGAGCTGATGGCTTTGCTGCAGACCCCAGGAGCAGGGCATCTCACTGCCCAGCCTCACAACAGGGCTGTCTGGGACAGACCAGCATCTCCCAACCCCCCTTCCCCGCTTCCACATTTTTTTGCCTGTGGCCACAGGAGCAGCAGCCGGCAGAAGGTGCCTGTTGGGCAGGGTTGGAGGCTGGGCCAGGGGCTGCTTTCCCCCAGCTGAACTCGCCCTCCCTGGTGTGTGGTTCTAAGGCCCAAGTCCAGCTGGGGGAAGGTTCCTCCACCCACTCCCCTCCTTGGAGCAGCTGCAGCCACAGCTCCCAGCCTGGCCCTTTGCCCCGCTCGCGGGGACACGGTGGCACGGCCACAGTCCCACCAGCTGACACCTCACTCTGTGGCCAGAGGGGCTTTGCTCTGCTTCCAGATTGAAGCTCAGGCTCTGGCAGCTCTTCCACCTGGCTGGGAGGCTTTCAAATGAGCCTTTTCTTTTCCAAATTAGCCCGCTCCGACCTCTTGTGCAGCCAGGCAGGGTGCAGAGCAAATGGTGCCTGCGCAGCACGTGGAGATCCCCGCGGAGAGCGCCTGGCTGGGAGTGATACCAAAACAGAGCTGCTTCAAACAGGAAATAAAACGAGCGAGTAGCAGCATCTGCAGCCTGTTTTTCAGTCCTTGCCTTCTGCTTCCTCTCTGCGTTTGGGTGGATCTACAGGAGAGGGTGTGAGCAGTGCAGTCTGGCAGGTGGTTCTGGGGAGAGGAGCAGGGGTTAGTACCCTTGGCAAAGAGCTGTGGAATAGTAGGAATTAATGGATGGCTTATTTTAATGTTACTAAATCTGGGCCAGAGGGGGGATGAACAGTCCCTTCCAAAGCTGTTGAGTCAACACCATCCTGCAGCTCTTCGAAACTCAACCTGTTTTCAAACGTGGTGCCTTTGGTCTTGCAGAGCTGCTGGAACTGCGGTCGCAAAGCCAGCGAGACGTGCAGCGGCTGCAACATCGCCCGCTACTGCGGCTCCTTCTGCCAGCACAAGGACTGGGAGAGGCACCACAGGATCTGTGGCCAGGGCCTGCACGGCCAGAACAAGCCCCTGGCTCTGCCCTCGGGCCGCTCGGCCACCAAGAGCCTCGATGGTGTGTCCAGCCCTGCCCTGGAGAAGACTTCGGCCACCACCTCCCGCTCCTCCACCCCCGCCTCCGTGACAGCGATAGATACAAACGGACTCTGAAGGGAGAAGGTTTGTGGGTCGGTCCATTTTGATTAGTTTCCCTGGTTTTGGTTGTTTGGTTTTTTGTTGGTATTTTTTTTCAAGCTGAAAAAAAAAAAAAAAAAGCCCCACAGCAACTTGTCTCACTTGACACATCTGGCACACGCGCCTCCTCCGAGCGCCGACACTCGGGCTTTGCCATCTCATTCTGCCTTTTTTATTGTGGCTTATGAAGACCTAGGGCGGGCCTTGCCCGTGGTACCCATGTGCAGGGGAACCAGAGCACCCTTGGGACCCAGAGGAGGCCGGGCACTTCCTTGGGGGTGGGACCTGGACTCAGTGGAGAGCATTCCCGGCACACGTGGGAGATGCTGAGCCCTGTTCTGATGGGTCAAATGTGCTCCACCTCCTTTCCTGAGGTGTCTGAGCTCCCTTCCATAATAGGCATCTGGTTTTCCATGCTCCCAGACAGTGGTGTCTCAGATGGCTGTGCTGGATGGTTGTTGCTGTGAACAGACCGGAGCCAATTTCCCAGCTGAAGCATCTCCTCCTCTAGTGCAATGGCAAAAGCCCTCTCCTCCTGCCTGCAGGTTGGCAGCTGGTGGCTGCAGAGAGCGAGGGGAGGATTCGTCTGCCCTGAACCAAATGTCAGTACCAGGGAAGTACAGCCAGTTGCTTCTGGAGGGCCTGATTTAATCCCATTCTGTGATGGGACAGCCAGTTGCACGTTACCCTGGGTGGGACCTTGGCTGGGGGAAGAGACAGAACAGACCTGGAGTCATTGTGGGTGGTTCTTGCCCTTCCCACCTCTGGACTGGTGCTTTGCTCTGCAGAGTGTGTTTTATTCTCACTGCATGGAAGGTGTTGGTTTGAGAGTCCCTGCTGTTGTGTCTGACCACAGCCATCCCCAGGTGACTGCAGCAGGTTGTTCATGGTCTGTTCTCTCCACGTGTTGCCCAAACTTACAGTAGTTGCAGGACTTGGTGTCCTGTGTTGGATCCTGCCCCCAGCCCGGGGGGTTCCAGCAGTGCTGCTCCAGCACCAGCTGAGCTCCTCTCCCTGGAGAGGCCTGGGGATGTGCAGCCGCCACCACCTCATCCAGCCTCCAAAGACCATCCCAAACGTGCAGACTCAGAGAGTGAGGTCCTGCAGGGATGGGAGGGTCAGCCTGGGATGATCCACTGCTCAGAGAGTCCCTGCTGGGCTGTGGCAGGAGGGATGCAGGGCAGAGCAAACCTGAAAACCAACACCATTTTGGGGCAGAATGGGGCTCAGCTCGGATGCTCCTTGGGGGTCACCAGCAGCCAGGGCTGGGCACGTGCCCTCAGGGGAGCAGCAGCCATTCCCACCCGACATACCAGTGGGATCTGGGAAACAATCAGAGCACAGCAGAGCTGTGTTTCCCTGACTGGTTTTGTGTGATTGCTGGGCTGGAGCCCAATGAGGCGAGTAATTCCCAAATTATTTTTGATCACTTTTTCAATTGGAGGCAGATAACAGAGATGAGATGGATCATCCCTGAGGCTGCAGCAGGGGCTCTGGCTGCCCAGGACCGCTGAGCCAGACATCCCTTGGGGAAGGTTGTTTTGGAAGCTGCTGTCGTGGGACAGAGCAGGATGATTCCCATGCCTGCGAGGTTTAATTTGGCAAAAAAAAAAAAAGCCACATGTCCTGGTGTTGAAGGGCAGAGGGGAGCACCTCCCCTGTGTCCCCCAGGAGCCTGTGCCTGGCTGCAGCAGAGCCCTGGGCTGGGGCAGGATGGTGCTGTGCCCTGGGGCTGCTGCAGCCCTGGGCTGGGGTGGCACTTGAGCCCCTCTGCCCTGCAGGACCAGGGGTCTGGGGCAGGTGTCACCTGGCCCAGATTGTACCCCAGCAGAGCCAGGGGCAGCCCCCCCTGCACAGCCCCTGGCAAAGGCCCCAGGAAGTGGCAAAGCTCAAAAACCCTCAGTGGTGCCCGAGGCTGGAGGAGGATGTGGAGCCAGGGGGGGCTGAAGGGCGTTTCCTGCTCTTCACACCTGCAAATTCAGAGCTGCCTCAGGTAAATCACCTTTGGTTGTGACCTCCCAATCCTCACTGAGGTCTTGACTGTCCACTGGGGGGGGTCAGCAGTGTTTCAACTGCTGCCAGGTTGGACAGGGAAGCAAGAGCAGAGCAGAGCTGGAAGAAATCTCTTGTAAATAGACTTGTCTTCCATAATTTCATGCAACTTTGATGGCCGTGTACTGAAATTAACCCGTGTAAATGAATGAAATACTAACAGTCGTGATTAGAACGATTGCTTCTTTTTTTGGGGTTGTTTTTTTTAACATGGAATGATAAATGTGAAATTCAGCCACGGGAAGAGTTGTTGGGTTGAGGTTTCTGTTTTGGTTTTTTGGGGTTGTTTTGGTTTTTTTGACATTTAATTCTGTAATAGAAATTTGTTACTTCATTCCTGTGCATAACTTATTTAATGTACTGTATAAAGGAACTCAAACTGTTACAGATGTATTTAGTTTGTTCTACTCCAAAGTAGTCAATAAAAAGACTATATTCATCACACACTTGCCCCTTCCTCGCTCAGAAGAAGCAGAGGGTTGCTGTGGTGCTCACGCTGCTGCTGAGGAAGGTTGCTGGGCTGTGGCCTTGGCCAGGGGAGCTGCAGGGGCAAGAAAAATGCCTCCCCTGGGGTGGTGAAGCTGCTGCAGGCAGAGCTGGTGCTCAGGCATGTGCCCTGTACCCAGACACAGGACTGGAGTGCAAGAGGGGGGAATGTTTTTCCTACTAGGACATACTTGTCTGTGGGCACTCAGTGCCTGCCCTTGGTGGCACTTTCTCCCTGCTGTGTGACACCAACATTTCACACCACCTCAGTGGTGTGATGCTCTTCTTCTGCAGCACCAACACAGACACCCTGAGTGTACAAGCCATCACCTGGGTGGGCTTGGCTCTTCTCTGACCAAAGGGGCTTCCCCACTCTTCTCATGCCCCTCACCAGTAATTCAGCTGCCCCCTCTGTCCAGCAGCACTGGTGCCATCACTGGTGCGTTTGTTGAGCTGCAGGATGAAGCAGCAGAGCTCTGGGCCACACTGGCCTTCCCAGGAGGGGGTGCAGTCGTTTATTGGGGGGGGTGCACAGCCAGGCCAGCCTCAAAGCCACAGCAGTGGCTGCACAGGCAGAGCCAGAAATACATTATTGTCTTTTTGTTCCATAAAACACTATTTACAGGCCAGACAAGGCAGCTCCTTCTCCTCAGTGCTGGGAGGAAGAGGGAGGATGGGGAGGAAGAGGAGCCAGGATGTGAGAAGGGCTGAAGGCTGCCAGGCCACAGCAAGCAGCCCAGTGCCTCCAACCCAAGGGTGATGCTGCCACCCCACCCCTGCCTCCCACCTGCACTGCTGAGAGTGCCCCATGCCCTGGGCAGGACCAGGACACTGGGGGGAGGGAAATAAATTAACATGGAAAAAGCAAGAAGGGAAAACACTGCCAGGGCTGATGGGCAGGCAGCCCCTGCCAGACCACAGGAGAAGACAAGGGACAGGAAGGTGACGAACACGAGCAAAGGGGCTCCACGCCCAGCCCAGCCTCAAAGCCACAGCAGTGGCTGCACAGGCAGAGCCAGAAATACCTCATTGTCTTTTTGTTCCATAAAACACTATTTACAGGCCAGACAAGGCAGCTCCTTCTCCTCAGTGCTGGGAGGAAGAGGGAGGATGGGGAGGAAGAGGAGCCAGGATGTGAGAAGGGCTGAAGGCTGCCAGGCCACAGCAAGCAGCCCAGTGCCTCCAACCCAAGGGTGATGCTGCCACCCCACCCCTGCCTCCCACCTGCACTGCTGAGAGTGCCCCATGCCCTGGGCAGGACCAGGACACTGGGGGGAGGGAAATAAATTAACATGGAAAAAGCAAGAAGGGAAAACACTGCCAGGGCTGATGGGCAGGCAGCCCCTGCCAGACCACAGGAGAAGACAAGGGACAGGAAGGTGACGAACACGAGCAAAGGAGGGGGCTGTGCTGAGGGCTCCCAATCCTTCCACACGCCAGAGGAGTCCTGGGGCAACTGTCCAGGGTCAGTTGTTGTTCATGATCCACCAAGATGCTGAGGAGAGAGAGGGGAAGGGGTAAGGGATGGGCAGTGGGTGTTAGGGGAGAGGGTCTGGGTCTTTTCTGAAGGTCCCTGGCACCTGGCTCTGAAGCAGCCACCTCCCTGGGGTGGGGAGCACAGCCATGGCATAGCCTGGAGGTGGGTGAGCCCCACCATGAGAAGAACATGGAGCTGTGAGGGTGGTGAGACCCTGGCCCAGGTTGCCCAGGGAAGCTGTGGCTGCCCCATCCCTGGCAGTGTTGAAGGGCAGGTTGGATGGGGCTTGGAGCAACCTGGGCTGGTGGGAGGTGTCCCTGCCCATGGCAGAGGTTGGCACTGGTTGATCTTCAGGGTCCCTTCCAGCCCAAACCATTCTGTGATGCCATGATGATCTGGGCAGTGGCCCCAGCTGCTTGGCTGTCCCAGCTGGAGAGCAGCCCCCAGGCTGGGGAGTAGCCCCCCCCCC